TTGATATTATATTCCATATAAAATTTTCTAATAAAATGATGAAAATTATATTGAGAAATTTGTATCGTAAAAATAATAAATGTTAATGAAATAATTGATTTTTTTTTTTTTAAATGCGAATTAGACGTCTTTCTTTAAGACTCACGTTGAACGTATGTTTAACTATTTTCGATATCTATTTGAACTATTCAATATACCAATAATGTAGTTCTCGAAATAAGTTTTGAGATGATATAAGCAATTTGTAGATTCTTTGCAAGTTCGATTGTGTCCTCCTAACTTTTAAGGTCTGCGTCCGCCCTTGGTTGAAGACACGACTTAGTTGTAATCTTATATGTCGAGTCTGATACGATATTGTGCATCAAACGTGTCCAAAGTTCTACTCGACCAAGAAATATAAGTGGCTGATTTATTTCCTTGTAAAGGATAAGAATTGTCGGTATATTTTTGAATTTACTATGCTTCGTGTAGGATATTTTTAATATTTTTGTTCACATTTCCAACCATAGTATATGTCAAGATTCTTAACCTTTAAGCGATGGTAGAAGATGTGTTTGCACCATAACAAATTTATTATTGGCCTACTAACCCGCGTAAGGCGATTGATTATTAGATGGTGCTTGGATGAATATGTGCACCAAGTAATATAGTAAAGAATTCAATCAATTGTCATATTTGTGATTAGATCGGGTTAAAGCTAAGAAGTGAAGGGCGTTTTTTGATGAAGTTTAAAGAGTTCCGAACTCCTTATAAAATGAAATGGAAAAGATTAATCTAGTCAACAATTGAAGATATGGGGTGCAACTGTTGAAAACTCTCCGATGCTAAAGTTAGCAACGTAGTAAAACGTGTGAACTTACCTTCTTCTTTTTTAAGGAAATAACCACCCATTTATATATTGGTGGAGGTTCGATACTGCCCTTGAAACTTCGATAAGTTGTGACATGACCACTCAAGTGCCTTCACTTGATTGCCATTGGTCAATGTGGATAGCATCTCGGATTAATCTTAGCATCTATTTTAGACTCCAAGCTTGGGTGGTCTAATCAAGGCCGCTTATTAAATGGTTGATGACATATATGGCTAATTCTATTACAAAAATGATCATTAGAGTGTGTTTGGTAAGGATTTTTGGAGGAAGAATTGATTTTTGAATAGTGATATGATGGGAAATGTGTGGTTGAAAAAGAAAAAAAAATATTGATGTGATGGAAAATATTATTTTATTGAAGAATGTATGGTTGAAAATGAGAA